AGTTCATCAGACGCAGGATTTAAACCGAGTTCATGCTCAAACGTGTCAAAACATGTTGACATGCATTTTTCGAGCTGCGCCACTGAGACTGCTGAGAGTACTGCAACATTTTACACCTATAAATCAGACTATTTCTTTTTTTAATTACCTCAGTGCGATGTTCAGACCCAACTGTGTTAACCGCATCAGCTAAACTGTCCCCACTCTATTTTTTCTTTTGTTGTTAATTCCGGATGACAAACTTGCAAATAACATCGCTTTTCTCCGGTCGACCTCCGAAAGGAGCACCTGCAATTCACATTCTGTTCAAAGTTTCTGTTTTTGCTTGCTTTTTACCATTGCTTTTTCATTGGGTTTTGCCAAAGTAGTCATTAGCATATTAATACGGGGGAGGATGCAGGGAGGGGTTTTGTGCTCGTGCATGTTGCGCTCAGTTTCACGTTCATTTAGATGTACAAAAGAATATGCGTGGGATTCGGCGTACGCAGTGCTTCATACATCTGAATTTTTGTCTGGGTACGCACATTTACAGCTTTGTGCGTACGCAATGTTTTAGTATGATTTCCACGCAAGTCTTCGTACATGAGGCCCCAGCTGCGCAAGCTGAAGCTGCCAATTCATTTGGCATTTCACTGGCCCGTTTACATACTTTTTCAGACGATTGGCTTTCTGAACAAAGTCCCCATACATGGATTAAATCCACTTATACCATTGAAGTTCCCCAATCGAAAGGGGAACACATTTTAGCAGGTAAATAGTTCAAATCTATTGAAACCTTAAACATAAAAGCTCTTTTACCAATAGATCTTTTTAAACTATGAAAAATAAAATAAAATAAAATAAAATAAAATAAATAACAGAACAGAATGTCTTACACAACTTGACATTACCCTGATAACCTTGTTATAAATCTGTCATAAACATGATTGTTATCAGGTCATTTTAACTGTTATCAATAATTTTCTGATCACTTTCTCACTGTGTCATTACTCTGTCAAATAATTTTATAAAAGCACTATTAATATTAAATGACAATTAATTATCTATAATGGCAAATTTAATTTGTACCACTTTAGTTCAAGGCAAAAAAAAAAATATATATCAATGACACAGTAATAAAATTAATTTCACAGTTATAATTGCCTCATGATATAGCAGCTTTATGACCAGCTTTGTTGACTTGTCAATGCTACGTTGTGATAATAAAGACATGTCAAACAATGTCACCTCGGCATTTAAATTGACATAATGACACTTAATAACAGTTGTTATTTTAGCATAAATAAAATATCACATTCATGACATATGTCATGTCTTGATTATAAAGGTTTCATGATAATTTAATGAAAACCCCTTCAAATAAAGTGTTTCCCATTTAATTTTCATGTTAGTCAGGTTATTTCTAAATCTAGTCGAAAGTTACTGCATATGGTTGAAGTAGTTCACGCCTGACAACCGCAGCGTTAATTTGTGTGCAGCTGCTGATTAAAATCATGTATACAAGCTGACCTTTTCAGATTAGTTCACACCTTGTTTGTAGTGCAGCTCTGTATACATTATAAGCCGAACATATGGCACATATTTATTGATCCATCTCTAAATCACAAGAACTCCCAGAAATCCCTACCAGCACCAGATGCATCATGATTTATATGCAGTGCTGCAGGTGAGCGCTGTTCAGAACAAAGCATTGATTTGCAGAGATATAGTGTGTGAAAGTGGTTATAGATTTTGCTTTGTGACATTCTATGTTATTATATATTGTAAGCTCTTTTATATGTTATTTATTAGAAGCTTCTGATCTTCAGCAACTCTGCATCTATGTACACGTACAATTTTCACAACAGCCAATTGTCACTGGTGGATGATTTGTGTTTCAACAGTTTACAAAAAAATTCCAAATGAAGAGTTTAGATGCAAAAACCTTGTTTAATGTAAAATGTTGTTTTATATTTTCTTCTAAAATTACCGTCTTTCTCAGACTCCTTTGTGTAGGCTTAGTGATTTTACTTTCATAGTGAGGAATAAGTTATTTTTATTACCTTTAAAGTGAAATAACTGAACATAAACATTGGAGGCTCATTTATTTTTTGATTGTTTATATAGCAGACCTTTCTGGTCTGATTAATTTGAGTGGTTAAAGGTTTCTCTTAAGTTGTCCTCTCAACTTTCTAAAAGTTTTGGTTTATTAGATGTTAAAATTCAATTTGTATCAACCAATATTCTAATTTTGGAGAAACTTTATATTCATAAATGCAAGTGCATTTAAACAAAACCACTGTTTTTCCAAAAGGAATTTTGGTTAAAATGTAAAACTTTGTAAATGTTTTTTTTTTCTATGTTTATTCTCTGTTTAAATTTTATTTATTTGTATTATGATCTTGTTGATTTGATAATTATTTGCTCTCTGTTCTGTAAACGTAGATGAAAGTTGTTAATCGAATTTTTCCTTATTGTATTTGTGTTGTAATGCAATTAAAACAAAACAGTAAGCTGAGAAAAATGCTCATTTTAGCAGAACATTTCAGACAGCATTTAGAGGTTTTTGCTTCTGAACTCTTCATTCATTAATTAATTCATTCTTTTTTGGCTTAGTCTCTTTATTAAAGGCTCATGACATCCCCCACTTTCGGTTCAGGTCTACTAGAATTTTTTCAAAAGATGCATCATAATGGGCGTGGAGCTCCGCGAGCAAAGGGCAGGAGTGCGCGTGTCCAGCAGGGGAGAAGGAGGGAAGCGAACAACTGTTGTCAGTTGGCTGAACTTGGCTCACAAACTGTGAGGAGACCCATGATTTTATAGTTTACACAGTTAAAATGCAAAGAAATAAACAGTAATTTAATGCCCTGCTACATTTTTTATTCGTAATTTCATATACAGATAACCACAATTTATATCACTATAAAGATAATCATGCTCATATAAACATTATAAATGAGAACTTTTTTCTCAATCTCCGGGTTTGAATTATAGATCTGAAAGCAGGCTCAGTGCAGCAGGTCTCTTGCCCTGTCTATTTTAACCAGTAGCTCTGTTGGTAATCTAGAGGGTTTAGGCAAACACAGCAGCACGGCGATGTGTCTGAATGTGAACGAACTCCTGATAAAAGACAACGCCTGCCATTCTTTAATTCTCGTACTGCTCTCCCGACAAAAAAGCTTGCTGCACACAAACAGCTTTGCTGTATCGGCCCTGACAGCATCGCGGGGAAAAACATGCAACAAACCCCATGGATCATGGAAACAAACACATACGGCTCTTCTTGAACAGCTAAATACTGTGTGCCGTGGGTCCGTGTCTCACAGCTTGGCACTGGCAGGTCTGTCTTGCCTTTGGAAAGCACGCGCAGTCATAAATAATTAAGAGGCCGGTTCTTCTCATAGGATAAAAAAACTCTGCTATGAATAATAATGAGAAACCGACGCGTCACCTTTGAATTTGCAGTTTTGCGCTACGTCGCCGATTTTGATCCCGCCCCAAAAATTATTTTGTACCCAGAAGCAGAAATTAGCTGGTGCTAACATTGTCTTAACTGATGCTTAACACACACAAATCTGTTAAAATAAAAAAAGGGGTTGCTGAATGATCGAATGAACCGCCAACTTATCCAGCATGTTTCCAGCTGCAACCCAACCCAATAGGAAGCACCCATACACTCTCATTCATACACATACACTATGGACAATTTCGTTCATTTATTTTCTTGTCTGCTTAGTCCCTTTTATAATCCGGTATCGCCACAGCGGAATGAACCGTCAACTTATCCAGCTGGTTTTTTACGCAGCAGATGCCCTTCCAGCCACAACCCATCTTTGGGAAACATACACACACACACACATACACACTCATACACTACGGACAATTTAGTCTATTCAATTCACCTGTACCGCATGTCTTTGGACTGTGTGCTAAACCGAAGCCCCCTGAGGAAACCCACGCGAACGCAGGGAGAACATGCACACAGAAACATGCAAATAACTCCACACAGAAACGCCAACTGAGCCGAGGTTCGAACCAGCGACCCCAATGACTTTCTTGCTGTGAGGCGAACTACGGACAATTTAGCTTACCCAATTTACCTATAGCGCATGTCTTTAGTGATGCACAGGACTGTGAACTTTTGACATGAGCAGATCATGATAAAGAGTTCACAAAGTAATTGACCAGCACAAACTCGCTTATTTCGATTGGAAAATGCAACATGTGATTAATAAATGTTTTCCCAAATGTGGACAACAGATGAGAAAAAATACAAAGAATAAAAAAAAAAAAATTCCTGTGGTTTTTTATGCCAAAATAGTTATTATTATTATTATTATTATTATTATTATTATTATTATTATTATTATTATTATTATACTGCCACAAATAATAATAATAAAAATAAAACACAAAATTAGATGTATATATTAGATGTGGCGAGGCAGTGGTGCAGTAGGTAGTGCTGTCGCCTCACAGCAAAAAGGTCGCTGGGTCGCGGGTTCGAACCTCGACTCAGTTGGTGTTTTTGCGTGGAGTTTGAATGTTCTCCCTGCCTTGGCGTGGGTTTCCTCCGGGTGCTCTGGTTTCCCCCACAATTCAAAGACATGTGGTACAGGTGAATTGGGTAGGCTAAATTGTCCGTAGTGTATGAGTGTGTGTGTGAATGTGTGTGTGGATGTTTCCTAAAGATGGGTTGCGGCTGGAAGGGCATATGCTGCGTAAAAACTTGCGTAAAAAGCTGGATATGTTGGTGGTTCATTCTGCTGTGGCGACCCTGGATTAATAAAGGGACTAAGCCGACAAGAAAATGAATGAATGTATATTAGATGTTTCTCCCTATTACTGTATATAATAAATACAATAAAAAAAAAAAAATGGCTGGAAATTTTCTTGACCAATGGCTAGTATGGGAAATTATATATTTATGCTGTGTCTTAGCTGATCTAGTCTGGTATGAGAAAGCAAAATTTCCTTTGATCTTTATTGATATTTTAATAAGCTTTTAAATTAAAACTCACGTTGTCCATTCAGTGACATAGCAGTACATTAGTCTCCGGGCATGGTAGGGCAGCCAGCACACCACAAAAGCAATGACCACAGCCCCTGTAGAGAATAAAATAAAAGAAAATTAATAGGTAAAACTGAGTCATAATAAGCAGCAGTAGCACATATGTAAATGTGTAAATGAACCATTTTAGGAGCCCCGATGGTGTAATAGTCACATTCACCAGAAGCAGATTTGTTTCCCTGATAGAAATGGATTTGCATCTGCCAATTTTATATGAGCAATTTATCATTTTATCAATCATTTTTGTCTGATCTGTCTCACTTCATTATTTCACAGATCCCATTTCAGTTTATACTTTCCCTCCGGCTCTGGTCTGAGTCAAACAAGGATTGACTCTGTAATCTCCGCTGTGTCTTTGTATGAGACTCTTAAAATGAGGCACAAGACTATTGATTTCTCACATAGTGTGAGGTGGTGACAGATCACTTCTGCTTCCTCCTGCTGTCTCAGTGCTCTTCTTACACTTCATATTGAGGCTTTTTGAATCTAACTCTTTTTTTTTATTGCTTTATCTTACTAGTCTGCCTTCATGTACCTCAGTTTTTGTAGGACATTTTAATGGCTATCTATTGATAAATTATCCTTGGTTTAAGAGAAAGCTTTTCCAATATAATCTGACTTCAGGAAACTATGTGGACTGCAACAGTTATCTCAAAAGTGCTATTTAAAGATCTGAAACAGGTGTACAGGCCAAACGTTTAGTATAGAAAACTTAGTCGACAACTAGAAATAAAGCAGCGAGGGATATTTAGCAGGTACAATCTCCATAGACAATGTTTTCAGGTGGGGTAACATGCCAAACTACACCTGCATTTCTAGAGTCAGCTTCTTCATGGCAAAATGGCAGAATGTCAATACAGTATGTTTGTGTAACAAACTCTAATAAACTGGCATTAATTCCTTTTCTGAAGCAGTTTATTTTTATCAAGAATGCAAATGCTCTATTAGTTTCCAAAGGTAAAAAACAAATTGTAATCATGTACACCCACAGTGTTCTTCAATGTGTCTTTTGTAAATATTTAAAATATTGGTGTCTGGGATGGAGAAACCTATGCATGATTCATTTTAATTTGAGATATAACTAAATTTTGGTCATAAACAGCTATAAAGACAATTTTCTAGACCAGGAAACAGTATTCCAGATGTCACAACTTAAGCGGATTCATGAAACAAAAAGTATTTTTGATGTAAACTGCAAGGTTAATTTAGTAAATGAAGACTAAGACAAAACTGTTTCAAGAGTTCACACTTAGATATGCTTGGCGTTAATAGCAGGTGTGGCATGCTGTTCCGGGTGAGAACCCTGAGTTTGGAGATAACTGAGCCCAAGGTTCCCGCCTGGTCAATGAACATATAAAGGGGGTCCGATATCAGGTACAATAGGTCTCAAAAACTCCCCATAGAAAAGGGAGGAAAAGGGGGAGATGGGGTGGAAGGGGGGACTATGAAAGTTTATGAAACTTCACAAACATTTTCGTCAACTTAAAAAAAAAAAAAAAAAAATCACAAGAAAGCAAGAGAAAGAAATAATTTTCCTGAAAATGTTGCTTTAAATTCTAAATCTCTTCAAATTACAGTTAAGTAACTTTATTTTGACTAGTTTCAAACTTTAAAAAAGGACTGCATAAGCACTTTGTTTGCACCATATCATACAATTTAGTACGATTTGTTTATTCCCATTGACGATCGGGTTTAGGGGCGGGTCTGGTGCCGCCCCTCCTTTTTAAAATCACACATTTTCATACGACTAATAGACTATAGGTGAATTGAATAAACTAAATTGACCATAGTGTGTGCGTGTGAAAGTGAGAGGGTGTTTCCCCCACTGTAAAAAAAATCATGGTTGCTCTAAATTTTTAAGCTGAATCAAATTACCCTTATAAGTCCATTGAACTAATATTATGTAAAACTGGCTTAAAACAGCTTGCGCAACTTCATAAAATTAATTTAGAAAACATTTAACTTAGTTTAATACGTTACAATGACTTGAAAAGATATGCTGTCACCAGGGCCGAGGTGGAACTCCTTTTCAGCCCTGGAGTTTCAAGCATTTGATCGGCCCACCTCAGTTTACGACTGACTATATTAAAATAAGGTCATTTCCATTTCAGTTTGTAATTACTCTCTCACGTCTTTTTCAAGAAAACGGCTGCTTTAGAACTTGTGTTTAACAACCTTACAGTTTTATATGTCTTAACAATAAAAAAGAAAAAAAAAGAAAAAAAAAGAATTACTAAGGTGAGGATCGAACACGGATCGACAACGTCGAAACGCAACGTGCTGACCACTGGACCTCAATGGCGCCGGTATGCATGTGTGGCCGGAATGATAGTTGATCATTACTCTGCAGGCTGCATTTTGTTCATGGGGCTGCAAGACAATACATAATAAGAGCGGAGCTGCGGCAAAATAATGAATAAAAAGAGTGAGGCTATGGTCAAATAAATAAATAAAGGGACTAAGCCGAAAATAAAATGAATATAATAATGAATAAATAAAACAGTAAATTTTAACATTATTTCTGTAGTATTGGGAAAGCTAATGTCAAACTGATTATTGTAAAGGAAGCCTTTGCTGACAATGTGTTTAGAATATATATCTTAACGTGTATTAATGTGGGTTTAAAGCTCTAAATATAGTTGTATTAATTTATTTGTATTTAATTTGACTTTTATCACACTTGGACAAACATGAATTCATTGAGAATGAGATTAGTGTTAGGCAAATTCCCATCTGACATAATACAATTCCATGACCCTTCAGATTGTGCAAACTGAAATGACAAATCGTAAATGTATTTTTTTTTTTTTTTTTTTTTTGCTAATATGAGATTGTTGACTAAGTATTGTATTATGTGATCTACCATTCATTGGTGTGCAGCAAATAGTGGAAAGTAGCAGTATTTACTGTAAATATATAGAACATGAGATTTATATTTATTTATTTTCATTAAAATAAAACAGCAATTTAGCTCAAGCAAATCCATTTATTATCAAACGGTGGGCGGGAAGAAGCAGCTCATTTGGATTTAAAGCCACAGGCTACAAAAAAGCTACATGGTAATAGTGGAAAGTCGCAGTATTTACTGTAAATACAGAGAACATGAGATTTATATTTATTTATTTTCATTAAAATAAAACAACAGTTCAGCTCAAGCAAATCCATTTAATACCAAGCCACATACAACTTCTTGTATTCTTTATCCGAGAAGTGCTAATACCAAAGTTGTTTACTTTCTTTCTGGATCAATCTAGTCACCCATTTGTTACACAGATGGGGATTTAAATAGCTGTGTGTGAATAAGTGAATGTGTTTGTCTGAGAGAGAGAGGGAGAGAGAGAGAGAGAATTATGGAGGGTTTCCTCTATTCTTTTTAAAATGTCAGCAAAAAATGCTGACTCAAATTATCTCTGCTTTGTGAATTATATCAACAACCAACCTTCTGTTTAGATCTGCTTTTCTCACATGATTAAATCTTGCCCGGGGGTCTTCTAGTTACACAAATTGAATTTGTATTTTCTTATATGAGGCTAGAAGCAATTAAAAGATAAAGCCCAAGAGAAGGACGTGGGAGACTGATAAATATTGGTCTCAGTTTGTTTCTTTTGAAAATGGCAATCTGTCTCCGAGGTTTATCTGGGATTTCCAGCGCTTGCAGTCACACTCGAGAGAAATAGTTGGTTCTTCTTTCGACACTTTATTGAGAAGCATAAAAATGTTGAAGAGTAAAATCACAAGGAGTGCAAAAAATTCTTATCAGTGCTCTCTGCCCTCACAACTTACATTACAATATAAACTTTTTCCATTTATAATGCGCCATTAATATAAATGTTGTTCTAATCCTTTCAGCACACTGCAGTCAAATGGCTGCCTGCATTAGGAATTTAGGCTGTAACACTTTCACTGCGATTAAATTGAATCCTTTGCTGCCACTCTAAATGATCTTGTTTTCTTTGATGAATTTTATTTTCTTCTCATTCCACCTGTCGGGCTCATCACCCTACCTCTAATGGAGTTGTAAATGAATAAGTCACTTTATATCTCGGTGTTAATGTGTAAGGGTGACGTTGGCACACAATCACGAATGAAATCTGTGAAATTTAATCGTGGACACACAATTGTCTGAAAACGCACACACATGCACACATTCCCACACACACACACACACACACACACACACACACACACACACACACACACACACACACACACGCGCGCGCACACACACACAAACACTCTTGTTTGTTTTTGTGAAAAGTGGGGACATTACATAGGTTTCCATTCATTTTATACTGTCCAAACCATATATTGTATTGCCCTCATTGTCATTATACAGATTTGTGTCCTGATATGTCACAAAAACACGTACACACTCACACATACACACACACACACACACACACACACACACACACACACACACACATAAATATATATTAACCACAACCCCCTAACAATATATATATATATATATATATATGTATATATAAAATACTTGTTAACTATGGAAGATATGGTCTCTTATAAATCTAGATTAATTAAAAATAAAAGCATAGAGTTTAAATGTAAATATACTGTTAAAATGAGGAGATGGACGAGAGAAATAGATACCAAATAAAGTCTAAATGAGAAAAAATGTACACATGAAAATCCAACTAGAAACTGGCATCTTAAATGATTGATTTGTGTAAAAGAAATATAGATGTATTAACCTTTCAGATGAATCACATGCAAAGTTATTTTGTAAAACACTGACAGCCATTATTTACAGTATATATGAAGACTTTAGAAGCAAAAACCTAAACTCTAAGTGCCGTCTGAATATTTCCTTTAAAATGAGCATTTTTTATCAGGCTCCTGTGTTTATGTTCCGTAATATTACCTTTATGGCAAAGAATAAGTCATTTTCCTGATGTTTAATGTGAAATATCTCAACATAAACAACAGATGCTGAAAAAAAATTCCATTTTCAATGGAAATTTCTGACGGCATTTAGAGGTTTTTGCATCTGAACTCTTCATATATTGCTCAACAT